GTGTGGTTAGGACCCTCCTCCCAGGCAGGAGGATTTTGACTAATGAAGTGTCACACCAAGGTTTCCAGTTCTGATCTCCTCCCTAGCTCTTCCTCTCTATAAAATGCCAGGATAGCCCTACCCGATTTCCTGCTTTCTGGAGTATGACAAGTGGGGGTGCGTTGATGCCTCAGAGCATGCTGGAATGATGTGTGCCATTTGCAGAACAGCTCCTGTAGGTCATGAGATGAACGCACTGAGGCCCGGAATGGCCTTCCTTGTTCAAGTGACGGCTGTGGTCCTACGTGTCCCTCACCCCTGAGTGGTTAGTGGTCTGACGCTGGGTGCTGTTGGAGGTGGCGTGTGGGCAGCTCGGACACCTGGACTTGAAGTCAGGAGACCAGATCTCATTCAGGCCGTGGCCCCAACTACCTTTATCACTGTGAACAAGTCGCTTAAACTCTACGCATTAGGTTCCTCAAGTGTGAAATGAGGAGAGTTAACGTGGCTCGTTTTTGTGGCTCTTTGCAGCTTTGAAGCCAGTTGAGCTTCAGAATCTGTATCAGCAAATGTCCTCATGCTTTGACTTAGCCGTATCACATCTAGGAACTTGACCGAGGAAGTGGTTGTTGGTGTGTGTGCTGAGGTTGAGCTCAGAGATGCTCCCTGCAGGCAGAGCAGTTTGAACAGCGCAACACCGGATGTAGCCCTCAGGTCCAATACTAAGGGATTTGTTAAATTGGTGATGATACATCCACCCGAGAAAATAACTGTGTGGCTTCTAAAAGTGTTTTTATACAGTAACACTTAATGATAGAGTAAAACCTACACAAGATATCAAGTGAAAATTCACTTTACCCAACCATGATCCCATTTTAGTAGGAATGAAAGTATATAAATACACGTATAGAATAAAGCTTGGAATGCTATGTAGGCAATGTGGGTATCTCTGGGAGGCAGCTTCTTGAGTGATTTGTTTTTCTTTGTGCTTATTGGTATTTTCTAAATGTCCTACTCGGAATGGATATTACTTTTGTAAAGAGAAAAAATTGTAAAAGTTACTTTAAAATGCTTCATCTGTTTTAATGGATGCTCACGGGCTCCTGCTGCGTGTAGGGCTTCCTGATTCCTCCAGATAAAGACTAAAGGACTCCGTGTCCCCTTTGCCTCCCCAGGAAAGGCAGCAGCATGGCCACTGTGCTGTCCCGGCGCCTTGGTAAGCGCTCCCTCCTGGGAGCCCGGGTGTTGGGGCCTCCCGGGGCTGCCCCACCCTCGGAGCCTCAGGCGGAGCTGCTGGAGGGGGTGACTCCCCAGCCCTTCCTCGCCTCTAAGGACACTTCCTGCCAGGAGCAGCCCAAGGAAGTCTTCAAGGCTCCCAGCACATCAGGCCTCCAGCAGGTGGCCTTTCAACCTGGGCAGAAGGTAGGTTGATCCCTGAGTGGACAGGCGACTGATCTCCCCAGGCTTAGGGCTGGCAGGCCAGTGGTGCCCTGAATGACAGGCCAAAAACACTCTGGGCACCAGTTTGCACACAGACTTATTCCTTGCAGCCATGTGGGCCCTTGGGCAGTAGGCTTCTTGAGAGAATGAGCCGTCCTTAGCAGACCCAGAGCTCCTGCACGACAATGCTGTCTGTAGGAAAAGCTGGAAAGACCTGACATCTGATATTCTTGGCTTAGCCCTACTCAGAACCTCAGTTCGAGGCGTGGCCAGAGCTCAGTTTTTCTTAATCTGCATCAGTTTGCAACTTTACACAAACAAGGGAAAGAATCTCAGCTTTTAAGAGATAGATAAAGTTGTGTCTTTGAACTACCTTTAGACATTTTCAAGAGACAGAGGTGTTTGTGTAGTCAGAATGCCATTTAGATTTCCTTTTCCAGTGTTCCTCTCCTCGTGGCAGGGCCCAGTCATCGCCTGTGCCTGATACTCTCACTAGACCAGGTGGATGGGCTTCTCTCTCACTGCCTTCTCAAGGGCCAGTAAATAGAGACTCTGCCTTCTGTCTCCCTGCCAAGGCTTGTGTCGTTCAGTCCTCTCTTCCCACGAGGTAAGGCGACCTGCCAACCGCTATGTACCCTTTGAGAGAAGTCAGCCTGCTTCTGCACTTCTGCTATCTTGTTCCAGGCAGAGTGAGAATTCTCTGAAGGGAAAAATGCAATTTTTTGATGTAAGGCGTAAGGCAATTCAAAGCAATAGTTGGGAACCAGCAGATAAACAGGCCTTCAAAGGCAAGCAGGGCAAGAAATCAGAGGGATGGATATAGATTCCAGATTCATTTGATCAGAAAAATTAATCCATTTACATTTGAAGTGATTATTGATAGGTAAGGACTTACCGTTGTGATTTGGTTAATTGTTTTCTGACTGTTTTGTAGTTCCTTTGTTCCTCTCTTGCTGTCTTCCTTTGTGATTTGTTGATTTTTTTGTAGTCGTATGCTTTGATTCCTTTCTCTTTATCTTTTGTGTATCTACTAGAGGTTTTTGTTGCTTTGTGGCTACCATGAGGCTTATAGAAAACATGTTATAGTTAGAACAGTCTATTTTAAGATGATAACTTCAGTCCCATACAGATTCCAAGTTCAGGAAAAAAATCCCAGAAATGGACATGTTCACTTTCTCCAGCTAGAGAATTTATAAGGATCTGTTTGGGGAAGAACCAATCCAGTGTGGCTAGTCTGGGTGCCCAGGTGGGAAGCAGGTACCTGGGAGCATCTGTTTGAATTAAAGATGAGTCAGAGAATACAGTTTGTGGCAGATGTATCCTGGCTCCCAGAACTTGGGGCACATGGGGTGAGACCTATCAATTGCTGATCACTGGTTGCTGTTTTTCTCCCCCCAGGTTTATGTGTGGTATGAGGGTCAAGAATGCACAGGACTGGTGGAGCAGCATAGTTGGGCAGAGGATAAGGTGACTGTCTGGCTGTTGGATCAGAAGTTACAAATCTGCTGCAAAGCAGAGGAGGTGTGGCTGGCCGAGTTGCAGGGCCCTATTCCTCAGGCACCACCTCTGGAGCAAGGAACCCAGATGCCAGCCTACAGGCCTGTCTCCAGGAACATTGATGTCCCGAAGAGGTTTGTGTGGAAGAACCTGGGCTCTGAAAGACAGGAGGGTGGTGAGGTGTGGGGTCGTGGGGTGCCTTGGGATGGGGAAAGAATGCATAAGTCCTAGGTGCCTAGCTGTCAAGATATTGGACAAATGGGATACAGAGAAGGCATCTTTTAAAGAAACCCAGAATGGCATCTTTTCTTCCCCAATTCTGTTATGAGTGATGTGTCTTCGGTTTGGCTAAAGGTTATATTTTTCCTCTTTTTATGCTTAACCTAAAATTTGTTCTTTGTTTTTCATGACGAGAGAGAGGGAAAAAATGGCTTAGATTTGACGTCCGCAAACTTGTTCTCAGTGGGCCAGATAGTAATTAATGTAAGGCTTTGTGGGCCAGAGTGCCTGTTGCAACTACTCAGCTCTGTTGTGGTGTGTGAAAGCAGCCACAGAAGTACATAGACAAGTGAGCGTGGTTGCACCCCCAAAAAACTTTACTTATGGATGCTCAACTTTCAATTTTATGTAATTTTCCTGTGTCACATGTCAAATAATATTTTTCTTTTGATTTTTAAAACCAGTTAAAAATTGTAAAACCATTCTTAGCTTGCAAGCCGTACAGAAGTAGGCGGCAGGCTGTGCCCACCCGCAGCCCATAGATTGCTGGCCCCTGGCTTAGATATTCAGAACCTTGATGTTGAATGAAGAATGTACATTTTGCTTTAGAATTTTATGATACGATTTTATTAGAATATACATTTATTAGAATATATACTAATTTTTATGTTGCATACTCTATGCATGTTGATCTTTCAAAATAAAAAAGAAGACCTGCCAGTGGAGATTGTCTTATATACAAGATGTGCAAGAAGTTAAGCCCCATTCCACCTCTTTCTGTGTTTCTCTGTGGTACTGCTGTTAGTGACAGTACACCCGGTGTCTTGAGACCAGACTAGAGTAACAGTATTTGTGATTGTGAATTCGGTGGAATGCTGGCAAAGAAGTTTTCTGTCCTGTGTAAATCGAAATACAAAGATCATATAAAAAAGAGGATGCTGATATGTTTAATATATTACTATACTTGGTTTAGCTGCTTCAAACCCAGTCACATATTTTAGTGCATCTGAATTGTAAAGAATGAATGAATACAGTCTTTGAAGTAGACAAGCTACCTAGAAATTTATTTCGGACTAACTTTTCATACTTTCGCATTAACTGAGAGATAGCTCTAGTTTCACTTCCAAATAATGTAACTTGATATGGATTTTTAAAAAATTGCACGTGAAATTTTATAGAACTTTGCTGTATAAAGCATTGGGAGATTTATTTTAGTGTTTCTGGTTTACTTGCTCATTGTCTTATGTAATAGGTTCTGTTGACATTCAGAAGCTATCAAAATTCCTCATTTTTGGGGAGGAGAGGAAAAGAATTGGTTAGTGTAATTGCTCCCTCTTAAACTTAAGTGTAAGACAAGGAAAGGAGGGTGATTTTAGTGCTTTCAGATTCCAGCGGGCGTCTTTTATGCCTATGCTTTATTTCATTGCTTTGACTCTTGTCTGTTTCCCCCAAATAAAATTCTCCATTTTAAGCTCCAGCGTCCGAGTTAGGGAGGGAATTCAGGGGAAAACGGAGCTGCATCAGGATGTCAGCAGTGGGATGGAGACCCTCCAGCTTCTATTGGGGTTGACTGATATTATAAACATAATTCAGAATGAGTGTTTTTCATGAAGAATCAGTAGAAACCTTCATGCTTGATTTAATTTATATTGCTTGAGCACACATTGGCTGATTGTAGTGGGGGCGTGGAGGGGGCAGTCTAGAAGTGTAAGATGATCGCGTGTCAGGAAGCAACCTTTGGCACTCACCCATTTGAATCCAGGAAGTCGGATGCAGTGGAAATGGATGAGATGATGGCGGCCATGGTGCTCACGTCCCTGTCCTGCAGCCCAGTCGTGCAGAGTCCTCCTGGAGCTGATGCCAACTTCTCTGGTGAGGAAGGGGGCCTGTGTGGGTTCTGGGTGCAGCAGAGGCTCAGGGCTGATCCCCTCTGCTTTGAGCAGCTAATTGCCACAGTCACCAGCCTACCAACAGGATCTCTGGAGTCTCTTCTCACGTGCACCTCAGATGGCTGAGTGATGTTGAGTTAGATGCTTCCATTCTTTTTCCTCAGTTTCCTCATCTGGGGAGAAGTTTCCTGGTGCATTGTGAAGATGATTGAGCATGGGACTGAGGCACACTGGCCACTGGAGTAAGTTCTTCTGTGGGAGTAAGTGAATGAGGCACTTCGGTGGGGGCCTGAGCAAGGCCAGTAGAGGAATATTTAGTTCACAAAGGCAGAAACTTACTAAATGGTCCTCTAGTGGCCTCAGAAAATTCATGTCCCCATTCCAAGTGCCTCAGCCTTGTAAATTAATGAGGGCCTACAGGCCAAGGACCTGAACTAAATGAGCTGAAGTCTAAAATAAATCTGAATGCTTAATACAAACCAAGAGTATGACTTCAAAGCAAATTTATGAACTAAAAGAAAAATTCTTCTAGTGCGACCCCAAAATCCATTATCAGTAATCTGGGAGGAAGAAGGGTTGCTGGATGTTAGTTGTTTGATGAGGCTGGTGGTGAACCTGGAGTTCTTTTTGAAATTCCTTATAGGGCTGGCCTGACTTACTCCCAGGGAATAACTTTTTCATGGGTGAGATCTAACCGGATTGCAAGCTACTTAAAACCTTGTAGGAAAGTATGGAAATAGCTTGGAGCACATAGCAGGAGGAAGGTGGCCTTTACAAGTATCCCTCACAGTCATCTCCTAGATAGAAAGTACGTTTAGAGGTGTGATAAAGCAAACTTACTTATTTCGCCCAAAGCCTGTGGTCAGTGACTAGGCTGCTGGAGTAGTCACTGTAGTCTGATGGCACCTGGTTGTGCAGCATAGTGTTGCACACCTGCTCTCTTAGCACTTGGGAGCTACACAAGCAAAATGCAGAGGAAGGAGTCAGTTTTAAAGTTCTCAGGAAATTCTGCAAGTTTAAGAGATCCAGGAAGTTGGTCAACAGAAGGAAGATCCAGGAAAGAGTCACAAAGGGAAAGAAGCATTGACTCCAATTCCCATCAGGTTATGTGTGTATAACACGTGCATACATGTTCACACACACCCCAACAAAACACGCCTTAACTGATACTAGGCCATTAAGTCCCTTTTTGACAAAAAATTGTCTATTAAAGATTTTTTCCATTACAGTTTATTTCTGATCTTATGGTTGAAGTCAGTGGAAAAATAAGGCTTCCTCGGCAGCTGACTATATTGAAGTATTCTGCGGGGTGAGGTCTGTACAACAACCCAAACCTTGCTGTCATCATGGATTCTTTCTACACAGAAACCACCTGCTCCCTTTGGAGTTGTTAGGATGGCTCTGCTGTTGTGCGTGTGTGTAAAGAACAGAGGGAATGAGGCCTATTTCTTAAAGGCTCACCGTGAACTCCCCTCCTGTGCGTTTGCAGAGGAGCACTTTGTTTCTATGCTGTAGAATTCCTATTTCCCCTGCCCTGGAAATCTTATCTAAGGTAGAGTCATTTATGTTCACCTGATAGCTTATGGATTAATTTGTGATACTGACTTCTTGCTTTGTTTTATGTTTTTCATCCTTTGTGTGCTACTTTGCCACCTTCAGCCTTTGGGCCATTTGCACGGTTCCTTGTGGAAGGCTGCTGTGATGTAGGCTTTGCTGCGGTTTGACCTGCCCTCTATTTCCAGAGTGCTGATCACCTAGATGGAGCATTCTCCTCCTTGCCCTTCTCTCCCAGATAAGTTTCCCGAGTGGACAGGTGTGGACCCTTGACCTGTTGACCCTTTAGTGACTCCTGAATTCTTTTTTTTTTGAGGAAGATTAGCCCTGAGCTAACATCCACTGCCAGTCCTCCTCTTTTTCCTGAGGAAGTCTGGCCCTGAGCTAACATCCGTGCCCGTCTTCCTCTACTTTATACGTGGGACGCCCACCACAGCATGGCTTGCCAAGCAGTGCCTTGTCCGCACCCGGGATTGGAACCGGCGAACCCCGGGCCATTGAAGCGGCACGTGGGAACTTAACCTCTGCACCACGGGGCTGGCCCTGGCTCCTGAATTCTTACCTGAAGGGCTCCCTTATTTTAAGCGCCATGTGTAGATGTCGTAAACTCTTGGTTTCCAGGAAGGGGAAGTCATAGCTTTGAGGCTTGACAGTGATACTTGGGGAGGGGAGAGTTCATCCAGCCCATTCCGTTTGGGTGGGCTTCCCCTGGCGTGTGAAGTTGGATTAAGGACAGCCTGCACTGGAAACATGGAATGCTGGGAGCCTAGATTAGCCTAGAAGCGGTTTGGAACATAGAGCAGGATGAGAGAAAAGCAGTCGAGTTTTTGTGCTGGCCACAAGGGCTGTGGTAGTCGATCTCTGAATCCAGGAACACCCCATGGAACACCCGCCCGTGTTGGGAGATGGGTCTTTTGGGGACTTGGCCACCATACCTGTGCGTCACAGCGCTTTTTCCCCCTTCTCTTGCCATTTCCGTGTATCAGAATTTCAGACTCTCCTATACTGTAAATGGATTCACGGCCTAGGCATGGAAGAGTCTGGGTTGGGCCTAAAGCAGTCTGAAGACAGGCAATTTAAAAACTGAAAATTTCACGCATCTCCTGGTGATCTTCCTGTTGAGACGCTGGGAGGAGGGCAGCGGGTTCAGGGCCATGTCAGGCGTGAGGGCTTCCTGTCGTCTGGTGATTAGTCTGAATCACTCTCAGAGCCTACCTTTCCCTCTCCAAACGTGTTACTTCTGGCTAAAAGTGGGAGCCACGTGGGCTGCAGCTCGCTCTGCTAGATGTTATTCCTCCTGTAAGAGCCAAATGGTTTCTTTTTGCACACAGGTTTTGGTGTATTTGCCTAGGTTTAAATTATCGAAAGGCATTTTTCAAGAAAGCTGGTCCACAAGCTCTGAACTTGGCCTTTCCATCCCACAGCGCTGTAGGGAGAGCTTCCTGAGTGGTACCCGGCACGCTGTGTGTGCACACTCTCACCCACTTGTTAGACCTGGAGGCTGCAGGGGCTTTTCTCCTCCCTTCCCCACTCTCCTCCTGCTTTCTTTTAACATATAAAGTGAGAAATACGTTTTAATTAGGTTCTCTTTCTGTTAATAATACACAAAATGAAGTTGCAGCGTGCGTTGCTTCGTCAATGATTAGCAACATGGCCGTGGTAGGAAGTGTCCACTAGAGCAGACCAGGGCTGCCCATGGAGACTGCTGCAGTGAACGGGCCCACTCCTCATCTTACCAAAGCTCAGAGACGGAGGGTCCCTCCCACTGTCCCCCCTTGCCCCCAGAGTGGCAAAACCAGCCAGAGCCAGAGCCGGGAATTGGCTTCAGGAGCCCAGACTCCAAACGAGAATCTCGTGGTCTCCCACCTGGGCTGGCCGTGCCAGAGCCGTGCCTGGGGACAGGCCCGTGAGCGTCCTCTGTCTTCTCTCTGGCCAGCTTCCCGCGCGGCCTGTGACCCGTGGAAGGAGAGCGGGGACGTGTCCGACAGCGGCAGCAGCACCACCAGCGGGCACTGGAGCGGGAGCAGCGGCGTTTCCACCCCCTCGCCCCCCCACCCCCAGGCCAGCCCCAAGTATTTGGGGGACGCCTTTGGTTCTCCCCAAACTGATAATGGATTTGAGACCGATCCAGACGCTTTCCTGTTGGATGAACCAGCTCCACGCAAAAGAAAGGTACAAAGTATGGTATGAGGGTGAACTCGGGCAGGAGGGTTAGTGAGGGGCCGGCCAGCCAGCCAGCTGTGGAGGGGAGGGGCCCCCGCAGGCCCCAGGCCTTCTCTGGCTCCATCCCCTTTCAGTTTCCCTTCGTGGCTTCTGATCTCATGATAGTCCCAGGAGCCTAATGGAATCTTTAGTGCTCTTTAATGCCACTTCCTTTTCCTTTCATCTCTGCCCCAGTCTCTGCCTTCTTTTCCCACACTCCTACAGAGGCCTGTGTGTGAGAGGCCTCTGGTGGGGTCTTCCTACAGTGCCAGGCACTGCTGCTGGCCACCAGGACCATCTCCTGGGTCCGCGCTCTCTGCCTCTGCTTGTCAGTTTCTCTGGCCCCAGAGAACCCCTTCCGCAGGGCTTTTTGTTGGGTTCTGTTTGAAGGCAGTGGAAGTTCCCACTGGGTGAGGGTGAGAGGGGCATGAGGGAGAGGAACATACTCCGATTATCCGTCTTCCTTCCTCCTAGAACTCTGTGAAGGTGATGTACAAGTGCCTGTGGCCAAACTGTGGCAAAGTCCTGCGCTCTATTGTGGGCATCAAACGACACGTGAAAGCCCTCCACCTGGGGTAGGTCTGGAGCCCAGGGCCGCTGCCAAGGGTGCCGTTCAGGTGTTCCTTCAGCCTGCTGGCTCCCCATGACCCACAGCCTGGAATGCTTCCAAGAGAATGGCTTGCTGAGAACAACACCTGGTGCCTATCTCTGACCCCTGTGCCCAGCAAGATAGCCCATTGGGAAGAGATCTTTGCTGGGAAGGGAGGACCCTCCCGTCGTGGTGAATGGTGATGCTGGTCATGGGAAGGGAGCTCCATCCATCTTGTGGATTTTGGTTCTCAGTAGAAATAGGGTAACTTGGTGAGACCCCATTGTGAGTTCCGTACCTCCCTCCCCAGGGAGCTGGGGCTCCATTAGCACTGACCCCCTGGAGCCTGGGCTTCTTGTGGCAGAGGAATCTGACTCACACCCCTCTCCCTTGAGGAGAGAGCGTGACCGCAAGTAGGTGAGGCCCAGAGAGGACCCATGGCAGAGCTCAGAGGCAGGTGACCCCTCGGGAGGAGACACTCGCACACGTTCTGTGTGAGAAGCCCTCAGTGCCAGTAGGCACAGCTCCCATTGCTGTGAGCATGTAACTCCTGCAGTGCTGCATCCGGAGCTGGTCTCCTGGGCCTTCTCCTGGGCTCCTTCCCTGGCTGGCAGGGTGGCCCCGAGCAAGTACTCCCTTCTGTCCCTTGGTTTCCCCTGTGTTTGAACTTGTCCCTGATCATCACCACATCTCCCTCCCACACAGGGACACTGTGGACTCCGACCAGTTCAAGCGGGAGGAGGATTTCTACTACACAGAGGTGCAGATGAAGGAGGAAGCTGCTGCTGCTGCTGGCGCCCCGACAGCTGACCCAGCTCCCACCCCCGGGGTGACCAGCCCGCCCCTTGCTGTTCTCCCGCCGCCTCCTCCCAAAGCCCAGTCCTCAGGCCCGGAACACCCTGGCCTGGAGTCTTACCTGCCCTCTGGTGCTCTCAGCAAGTCAGCTCCTGGCTCCTTCTGGCACATTCAGGCTGACCATGCATACCAGGTATGGGGTGGGGGCACGTTGGGGGCTCGGCCTTGTGGTCACGAGGACAGTCAGTGTCTGACCTTTCACCAGCCAACCTAATCACAGGCTGCTGACCGCCAGGATTGAAGGCCGAGCCCTTTAGCTAAATTGCTCATCTCTAGCTTCTAGAAGGAAGAAAAGAAAAATGACTTCACATTCAATAAATGTGGGAATTCCAGGGTTCTACGTCAGTCGCTTTCATGAGTGGTTACTAGAAATCTGGCTGACTCCCTGAGTTTTACAGGTTGTTGGGTTTGGACTAGGGAATTGCTACTTCTCTGGTTACAAAAGGGGATGGAGTAGTGTATTTGGGCTTCCCAGAGCAAATCCCTAGTTCCTAGAATTGTGTTACATTAGCAAGCAGTCCAACACCCATTGTTGGAATGAGTGTTAAGCTTTGGGCTATGATTTTCAGATAGAATAAGACATAGTCCCTGACCTTGTGAAGTGCATGGTTTAGCTGGAGAGAGAAATGAATATGTAACTATGATTAATTGTAACAAATAGTTAAAGTGCCTTATTAGAGGCACAAGAAATTGTGGGTACAGGAAGGACCAAGCCATGCCCACGTGATTGGGAAAGTTGTCCCGGAGTGGGTGGCATTTAGGATGGTCTTCACTGCACACTGTAGGTAAATGCACAGCTTGCTGTGTGCCAGTTTTTCTTAAAATCCTTTTGTGCCTACAAGTTGGTTTTATCAGACTCTAGGCTGATTTGCAAGTTAGTAATTAAAAAGAAGTGCTTTCCATCAGAAAGCCGTTACAAAATGAGCCAGCTCTCCTTCTCATTGGAATGAGTGGCTGCTTTGCTATTTCATGTTTGGCCAACTTCAGGTGGCCTTTCAGGCAGCTGGCTGACACTATGAGATGGGGCCTGGAGAGTGTGGCTGTGTTTTTACAAACAGACCTAAACCCAGACACCCAGGAGAGTGTTGCTACTTCCAGTGCTTGCCTGGGGAGACCATACCCTTAGTGCAGCTCGGAAGGCTTCTGGACTCCTTTGGGGAACTGCCTATAGCGTATTCTTGGTAGGTGATCCAGCCAAGAAGTTAATCTGCCATGGAGGTTAGGTCATGAGGCTGCTCCATAAAGCAGCTCTGAGAGAAGGGTTTCAAAAAATAGATTGGAGCCTGAGACGAGGACACGCCATAGAGCTGAATATCTGCTAGTTCTATTGGGAAGAGCATTCTTGTCTATCCCAGCATTTTCGGGTCAGAGAGACACCTTCTGCTGGGGACTGTGAAGTTACAGGGAAGATGGGTGGACTTGAGAGCTCCCTGAGCTGGAACCAAGGCCGACACGCTGTCGTCTCCTGCAGGCCCTGCCGTCCTTTCAGATCCCCGTGTCGCCACACATCTACACCAGTATTAGCTGGGCTGCCGCCCCCTCCACGGCCTCCTCCCTCTCTCCGGTGAGTGTGCCCGTGTCCAAGCCTCAGCACGTCTGGGGGCCCTGGAACAAGCCGAGGGTTCTTCCATCTCCCTGCACTTGCCTCCAGCGCCCAAAGGTCTTGAAGGTCTCCACGCACTCTCCCCCTTGCCCAGCAAGGTCACAGCTCCTCTTAGAAGGAAGAAGGAGGGTACTCGCGGAGTACCTAGATCAAGCAAATTTATTGCCAAGAAAATCATGAGGCTAGGCCAGAGTCAGTGTTCTACTTAGCCCTGAGTGTCTGTGGGTGCTTGTTAAGGTTTTAATGCTGGGAGAGGAGCAGGGAGAGAATGTGGGAAATCTGGAGAGGAAGAGGGTGAGCAAGAAAGAAGATAGGAGGTTTTGGGGGCTGTAGCGGGTGATCAGAAATCTCAAGGCCACTGTGGACCAGCGCCTTAGGATGCTTGCCTCTGAGCTAAAGAAAATTGAAGTAATTTTGAACCACACATTGTGGGTCCTAGTCTTAAATATCTCCCACAGGAAGCTATCACACTTTGTAAAACCTAAGTACCCGAGGGTGCCATTGGGGCGCTGCGATCCCTCTTTTTGTTCCACGTATAGTGACTCCATCTCAGTTCGCAGGGAGCAGCCCATGAGGTGGCCAGGTCCAGTGGCTCCCCTACCCACAGCCCCTACACTGTCGCCAGCCTGGCTTACAGGCCTGCGCTTCATTCTCCACCCTCCCTTCCTGACCCGGCCCCTGTGCGCCTCTCGCTGGAATATCCTTCCAGAGAGGGTGTCCTGGAGTCCTGGCACAAGGAGGGCCTCGGCAAGTGGGGCCGACTGTCCCGTGGGCTGGTTCTCTCACCTTTCACTGCTGCTCCCGTGCTCACGGCAGTGCTTGCGGCCCCTCTCTCATGCCCAGGTCCGGAGCCGGTCGCTAAGCTTCAGCGAGCCCCAGCAGCCACCACCTGCAATGAAATCTCACCTGATTGTTACGTCTCCGCCCCGGGCCCAGAGCAGCGCCAGGTGAGACTGGCCACTTCCATGGCCTCCTTTCTGGCTTCTGTCCCCGACATCTATACTGCAAGTGTCCCCCTGACCCTGGTCTCCAGGGCAGGTCCCTCAGGGGAGCCCAGCTGGAGGACACCCTGGACGCTGGGGGAGGCTTCCAGTCCTCTGGCCCTTGCAGCGTCGGCTTGTTCACACAGCTTCGGCCTGGCTGCTCTCCAGCTCTAAGCACCAGCGCGTGACTGCACCCTCATTATTCTCTTTTGGCAGGAAAGCCCGCGGGGAGGCTAAGAAGTGCCGCAAAGTGTATGGCATTGAGCACCGGGACCAGTGGTGCACAGCCTGCCGCTGGAAGAAGGCCTGCCAGCGCTTCCTGGACTGAACCTGTCCAGCCGGCTCGGCCTCTTTGCTCCTGGCCCTGACTGCAGCCAGATGACAAAAGGCAGACGCGCCACAAGCCCTCAGCAGAAACCTAAAAGATAAAGAGCGGGCGTTGGGAGTTTGGGCTCTATGGGCTAAGGTTTAATACTTAAAGCATTTTTCCCTCCCTTGTGGGAACATTTCATTTTTTAAAAAAAGAAAGGAAAATACTTTTTTCCCCTAAAATAGGAGAGAGCCAAAACTGACCAAGGTTATTCTGTAGCGAACCAGAGACCAAAGAATTAATTACTCTCGCTTTCCCACATCCCGTCTCTGTAGGGGATTAGTTTGTACGTATCAAAAGAAGGAACAGCTCGTTCTGTTTCCTGCTGAGTTGGTGAATTCTTTGCTTTCTCAACTCTTCCAGAAAGGACTGTGAGCAAGATGAATTTACTTTATTTTAAAAAAGAGTTTCTGGCTGATGACTCAGAGCAGGACCTGCCGCGGATGGGGTGGGCAGAGTGGGGGTATCTGGGCGCTTTTTAAGGTGCCGCTGGCCCCTCTTCTCCGCCTGAATCTGGGAGAAGGGAGAGCTTGTCCTCACCAAGCAGCTTCCATGGAAGTAAAAGGAGAGCCCTTTCTTGGTGACGACTGTTTGAATCTGGGTTTCCTCAGACGTTGGGTTGCATCCCAACAAATATTGTATGGCTTCTTCTCAAAGCCCAGACTAATAGGTTTTTAAAGACTGTCCCCAAATAGCTGAGCCAAAAGGCTAGTCCAAATTCCCTTCTTGAAATGTGGCAGTTAAACACTACCTTGATCATCCTTTCCTCTTTCCTTGAGGAAAAAGTAGAGGGTTTAGTATCTGTGAAAGCTCTCCGCTGTTAGCTGAGTGAGTCGACTCCCTCTGACGTTCCCTCTCTCCAGTTATGGAATGACACCTCTAAAACACTTTATTTTCTTTTATAGTATATTCAGAAGCCTTTATCTGATTAAAGTTCCCTTTTTTCGATGAGAGACCTTGTGGTAGGTTCCTCTTTGTCTCTGGTTTCACCAGGGATTTTCCCATTTCCCTCCCAAGGCTGCAGGTGGGGCTGGCATGGGAGAGGGAGAGAGAAGAGAAAGATGGAAAGGTAAACGGCAGCGTGGCCCTAGGAAGGAGAGGGAATTGACAGGTGGCTGATTGTTCCATTGGCTCACCTGCTTCTTTGGGGGCAATCTGATCTTCTTCCTAAGGTGACAAGTAGGACCAGACTCTTGGGTCAATGCAAGAAGGTTCTTCTTCTTTTTTTTTTTTTAACCAGTGTTGGTCCAGTCCAAGTGATGAGGAGGGTCAGTTTGATTCAGTGTAACCTTCCCAGAGACGTGTTGAGCACCATTTCTTGCCTGAGGGTGGGATGGGGAAGGTTAAAGAGTCCTGGGGAGCTCCTGTGATGAGGAGCTGGGGTTGGATTAGCAGTTCCTGGTGCTTCAGCCCCTGGTGTTTCTGGAGACCTTGGGAATTGAGAGGAGCCTGAACTGCGCTTGCTTGGGAGGTAAATAGGCAGAGCTGTGCTTGATGAGCAGGAGGGAGATGGAGCGGGCGTTCAGTGCCATGTTAACCAGTGATTAATAAAGCCTGGGCGCACTGAGCCCCGAAGGGAGGACACGGTTTTGTGTGGGAACCTCACCTTTCTCCTAAGCGTGAGTTGTTTGGGGATCCTCAGGGCCTGCTTGAAGGTGACCACCCTCCCAGCTGTCTTGGGTACCAGTCCTGGACCTATGTCCCAGATGTCAGGGGCTCAGGGAATCCCACCAAGCCACCTCTTTGGGGGGACTGGGCAGCAGCGTCCACCCTTGGCTCTAATCAAGGCCGTCCTCTTGGTCCCAGGTGGAAATAGCTGCCTGTTGAAGCTCCTTTGACTACTTCACATGGGGAATGCACAGGTGCTTTTCAGCCCAGGACTTGCTGAGTGTTAGAAAACCTGCAGACCTGCTCGGGGCCTGATGTTGTGAAGGGTGATAGTGACCTAGGTTTGGTGACAGAGGGTAAGACGCTCTTATGATGGGTGTCTTTGGTGGTGACGGGGTATATTTTTATAACTTAGTAAAAATTATGTGGAATCTGTCCCTTGGTAAAGCTGGAAGCCAGGCCAGCAAGAGGTGGCCCAGGGTTCTTCCTCCTGTCTCTTCAGCCTCCCTGAGAATTGAAAGAGGACAGCAGGTTGTTGCCTGTCTTGACCGTACTGACTTCCCACAGTGTCCCCCTTGAGGTCTTATCGGTGAGGGGCAGGAGCGTGGGGACTAGGGGAGTCTGCCCAGTGGTGTCTCCCCTTCCCTTCTCAGTCAGGGCTCCTGCTGGTTCTCGTCTTTAGAGAAGCTGTGTTAATTTTTCCCCTCGGTTTGGATCATGTAGATATAACTGGATATATAAAGAGATTTTCTCTAAGTGAGGTAGGCTTTTCATGTTATTGGTACACAGGGCAGAAAAGGAAGAGAGAAAGAAGAAATAGATGAAAACAATTTAAAAGCCGAGGTGGTTTTATTATTTTTTTGTTTTGTTTTGGTGCAGCTTTCCCTGTCTGCATTTGCGCCTCTCTCCTTTTTGGTGGTGGTGGTGGCCTCCTCTGGCCTCGCTCCTCCCGCTCCTCCATCTTGTGGCTGTTGTGTTGGTTCTTGACGTGTGGTCTGTCCTTGGGGTGGCCCCATTTGTTTCTTCTCGGAGGGCGGGGTGGTTTGTGAACTGATCCAATGATCATGCCTATTTTCTTCATCTCTGTATCTCTCCCGACTTCCCAGCCCACCTGGGCAGCAACATTTGCTAGAAGGTAAGATGCCACAGGTGTGCGTTTGAAACTAACAGGACTGATTTTCCAAGCAGTTATTTTGGGAAACTATTCCAGTGATGTTACCCTTATTCAAGAGATTTCTTGGCATTACCTCGGAGTCATGTGGTGCCTGCGTTGAGCAGCCTTAATGATGCTGAGTCTGCACCCATGCTCATTCAGGGCAGAGAGAGTCCAGCGAGTAGTGTCTGTGGTCTGGTGCACGAGGCCTGACTAGCGAGTGAAATAACTTGGATTTAGTTATGTGACTTTTATGCTGGCTGTGAAAGCAACTTTGTAATTTCAGAGAGCGTTTTGAGCAGCATCCGCATAGTGATAGTAAGCCTATAGCTTGACTCCTTGGAGGACATTATTGATTTGGATGTGGAAGCTCTTGAAGAAATCTGTCCTGTTACTTTCTGGTCCTCTCGGGTTCTGACTTTACTAGGGGCAAGGAAAAAGAAAAACAAAAAAAAACTAGAGAAGAGGGAGATAAATCCCATCTGTGAATTTGTCTTAATAATTGGCGCCTTTTCCCCAGCTGTCTTCCAAGTATTATTTTTACTGTTAAAAAAATTTTTTTAAAAATGTGAAATGTAATGTTTTTACAGCAACAATATGAAATATATTTTATAAGGAATAAAATGGTACATTGTCTGATTTAATGTGTGCCTGTCCCTCTGCCCCTCCCCTTGCAAAGGATAAGATTATCATTGTCCTTAGTGTTAAACAAATGATAGCATGTGACACTGGGAAACACTAGGTGACATCACCAGGGACCAGGCCAAGCGCTTACACGGATGACCTAAATGACCATATGAAGGAGTGCTATTACTCCCATTGACAGAGGAGAGAGTGAGGCACAGAGGTTAAGTAACTTGCCCAAGGTCATAAACTGGGCAATAATGGCACTAGGATTGTAGTCCAGGCAGTAACTATTTTCTATACTGCTTGTACTGACAATCGGGAGCATGTTCTTGGCCATATTCCTGAGTTTGCTGGGGAGTGGGCAAGTGACTTAGGAGAAAATACATCACACTTTACTTATGGAATGCATTCTGACCCTAGGGAGCAGCTCGGGCCACTCCTGAATTCCTTGATTCTGTGTACTGTGCTGGCCCAAATGGCTAATTTAAAAGCTGGCCTAGGTGGGCAGGGTGTTGGAAGCAGAAAGCAACCCTTGCAGCACTGGGACTGCTTTATGCAATTTCAGCTTCTAGGACCATGGTGCGTCTCTGGGCACGGCTTCTAGGGACCCCCCCAACAGTGCCCGATAGTGAAGGTGATGCCACTTTGAGAAGACCCGGGAACTTGATCACAGCAGAAGTCGGTCAAGCTCAGCAGCCTGTAAAGCGGGTGTGGGAGATTGTCTTTGGCCTTGTTCCTTACCTTGGGGTAGAACAGAGGGCTTCTTTCTCCCACTTCCTTTGTCCTTCCTCACCCCATCTCTCTAAGAAAGTCCCAAATGAATCCACTGCTCTACTGCAGTTTGCCCGAGCCCCCTTCAGATCAGGTCATTGCCTTTGAGCTGGCCATTCTCCGTTGGCAGCCCTGGGCCCTCCCAGGCTTCATCTGAGGAAACCCAAATTTTCCTGCTTCTGGTTGGGTTTGACCAACAGGAGACACCTGGCTGGAGTTTGAAGGGCCGGAGGAGAGAGAAGTCGGGGTATTGTGTCAACTGGCCCTTCTGCCCTGCACAGTGTGAGTGGCTATTTCCCTACTGAGAGCTACAGGGAGCTGCAGTTCTCATGGGGTTCCAGTAACCCCCCCTTACTAGAGCTCCCCCACTCCTCCGCAGAGGCCTCACCATCCCTTACTGATTGCCTGTATCCCTGTCTATTTTGTAGATGATTGACTCTCCTCAATTACGCCATTTGGGTGTGCCAGATGCTTCTTGGCTGAACTCTGGTAGTTACACGTCTTAACATGTTTCATGTTAATTGGAACCCATTCCGGTGTTCCCAAGCCAGCAGGATCAGCATCACCTGGAACTTGTTAAAAATGTAGATTTGTACTGAGTCAGAAACCAGGAGTGGGGCCCAGCAACTCACTGGCCTGTGATGGTGATGTGCACAGGGAGGTTCTACAGACCCTGTGCCCTCTAGGCCACCCGTCCATTCGCACAGCTGTGGACATCAACTCCCCCCCGACTTGGATCTGGGGACACAGCGCAGGTGGGGTGTTGCCCTGTCTTATTTTATATAAAGAAGATCCATGTGCTTTTTGCCTGTGCCTCCCGAGAGGCAGCTCTGATGGTGTGTTTGGAGTCTGTGCTCCTCACTTCACTGAAAACAGCCAACCAATTTATTAACCATTTGCTCAGTAGAAGTTTAATGGAGAAATATCTGTTTAAAACAATCAGTCAAAAAGAACAGCTCTTTTACAAACAAGTTATGGCAGTGACGAGTCAAAACCCCAGGCTTGGTTTCCTGTTCCTTTAACCCACCCCTAGAAGGGGGAAGAGGCAGGTGAGAAGGAATGATGGGGCTGTTTAAATGTTAGCTGGGGGAATTACAAAAATACACTCTGATGTAGCAACAGGGGTGTCGTGAAACATGCCATGGGCGGGGGGCGGGGGGAAGACAACCAGACAGGAGCTTCTGCGCCCTGCGGGTGGAGACCTGGAGGCAAAGCCTGCCTCAGTGCCTTGGGGAAGAGGGAATCCTGGTACCCGGCTGGCAGGTCTGGGGCTGGAGACATGCTGTTTTGGGGATCACCCGGACACCTGGGGAGACAGAAATGATTAAAATGGCAAACCTGATAGTTTTCCTGACCCTTCACTCCTATTGGCCCTCGTGACCGAGCAATGGAAAGGAGGCAAGGAAAAGCTACCAACTGAATGGATAGCCCCTGAAGCAGCAAGAAGGGTTCCCTCACTCCCTCTACACGCCTGCTCTCCCTGGCCCTGAGTCCACTGGCAGGACTGAGGGTCAAGGTGGGGTCTGTGGGCTGGGCCTTGGGATGCATGGCATAGGCCCCCTGCCCAGAAACAGTTTTCTTGTCCCTGGCATTTGGAACTCATGTGTAGTAATTCATTTCCCGAGGCTAAATAGCCTCCTCATACTGCGAGTGCTCTGTAAGCCTGGTTTCACTAATTCCTCACCATGAATGAACCTGTTCACTTCCCACTGTCTGGAAGGGTCAGGGCTCAGGGCAGCAGAAGAGAGGACAGCGGTATAGGGACAGCAAATACCGAGACCAGTGTGCCCTTTTCACAGATCAGTCTAGGACTAGTCCTGAACCCCAATGCTCCTCCTATCCAGGACATCATTACACTTCCCAAATAGGGTTCTTTATCCCATTCCCGTGGTAGGGAGCCCCATTCCCTCCAGCCTTGTAAGTATACATTGGTATTGGCTATCTCAGAAGTCCACAACAGCTCTGGCAACAGGAGGCCCCCAGGATGGGGAAATCTCAAGCCAGTGTAGGGCTGGTTGGGGTGTGTGTAGGTGAATAGAGGTAGGGTTTAAGCTGCCCGATACGGACTCGTAAATATATATCCATATCAGAACTCAGCAACCATGAGTATGTGGAGAGAAGAAGTAGAGATGGTTGCAGGAGAAAGGAGAGCAACCAATAATATCTGAATGAGCTGGTTAATGTTTCCAATGTTTCCATCAAGAACTTTCCAGTTTTGTTTCAGTGCCTTTCAGTTGGAAGCTTAATAGAAGAATTAGAAAAACCAATTTCCTGAGTAGGGGTTCAAATAGTTTTTAAAAAAGTAAGTTGATTGCGCCTAATGTGACTGATTTTAAACTGTCTTTAGGTAAAGAAAATGTTTGCAGTTCAGATTTAGACATGAGCTTCAATGTTCCTTAAGAGCCACTTTAAAGAAAAATGTCTTTAAGATTCGAAATAATTAAATCCATGTTATTTCTGAAAGATTTGCTCGTGGGTACTGCACAGATACGGCTTAGGAAGAAACAGAATGCTTGTTAAGGTTCCAAGAGCATGACTTCAAAACCAGTGCAGGTTAATTCAGCGCCTTTGTAGATTAGTCATTCTGCTAAAATAAACACAGCAGCCTTCTCCCTACAACTTAATACATATGTCCATATTTGGCAATGGGCCTTTTGCAAACAAGCTGGCCTACCTGCAAAGAGTGACGTGGGCTGCCTCTGTGCTGAAGTGTGGGTGCCAAAGATTAACACATGTATTAATATACTTTAAAGGAAGATTATCAACGATCTGGCTACCTTTCTTGTATGGGAAACAAAAATAAAAGCGCACATGCAGACTTTTTTCTTTTATGCGTCTGAGTCAGGGGAAAGCCTCACTTGGGGAATGTTTTGGGAATGTTTTTGACCAACTGATTCGTTCTTTCTGTTCGGGTGAGTTTCTAGACTGTTTAAGGCAGAGGCATGAGACTCTGCAGATAATCATATTCCCGTATATGAGTTAAGGCACGTATGCTCGATGGTTGGGATTTTCTTAGATTTTTAGGACATTCCACTATACTAGCTCCCTATGCCACTCAAAGTTATGTATGGGTTGATGGGCTGAGGAAAGTCGAGTTTGTAATGACTGGGCAATAAATTAGGGTCTTTGAGGTTTAGTATCTGAAATGTAATACAGATGCATGAGTAAGCATGCCCATGGGGGCAAGAACAGACCAGAAAGGACAGAGGAATAAGGGCAAACAAGCAAACAAAACCGAAACAAAAATGGCACCTGGAAAGAAGCAAAAAGTGAGGAAGGATAATGATCCCTTAGTCCCTATTCTAAAAGCTGCCAGGTCAGTTGGCCTAAATTCTCAAAGCCTTACTCAGCGATGATGCCATCGACTGCAAGGAATCAGTTCATCTCTGGCAAGGCGGTAGGATGGGCAAATGATGAGGGGAAGAAAGAAAAGCAGAAAGTGTAACTCCAGGTCCTAATGAGAACTCCTTGACTGGAGAGGAGTGGGGAAGTTTAATGGTTTTCATGGAATCCAGTCACCTCGAAATATAGGAGGGAATGGGGGATAGCCAAGCTGTCTTTGAAGGTAAAATAGTAATATCACGGCCACAGAAATCAGGCTCTTTGCAAATGGCTACGGGTAGGTCCAGCTCTTGGTTCTTAGAGAGAACGTCTCTGAGGAAAGGTGAGCTGAATGGTTGTTACGGCAACCAGATACGAGGACTGGTCCACTGAACTGTCCCCATAGTAACTAAGCTCCTGGAGAGCTATAAAGGAATTAGTTATCTTAACATACTACTATTATCCCCATGGTAACCAGTCTCTAAATGGCAGTGGTCAGCCTCAAGGAGCAATCCTAGGAAAATCTTTGCTCCCTAGAGAAAGGGTGGGCATAAGGCGGGGAGGTGAGTTTACCTCCCAGGCCGCCCAGGAGCTGAACACCTTGAGGTGGTGTGGGGTCCGTGTATGTGTTTGGGGGCTAATGTGCTTCCAGTTCTGGGAGGAAGGCTAAGACAGTGGGGATAAGAGTTTTCTTCTTGCCCCCAGCTCATTCGTGCTCAACTCACTCATGGGTTGAAGTGGACGGTGCAGCTGGGAGGGGCTCCCCTTCCGGCTACGCATTACCATTCTGGTGCAGGGTGCGCCGGCGCTGGCTGGACTGCATACTCAGGACCAGGTACTGCCTCATGAACTCACTGAACCGCTTCTGGTTGGCCAACTTCCGGGCAGACTTCCGGGCCCCAGTGAATCCCCCGAACCTCTTCTGCAGCTGCTTCTGCTCCATCTCTCCAGCCTCATCCATGCCAGGCTCTGTCCCTTTCTGCACTTGGAACAGGCTCCTGATGCGAGGCATTCTCTTCAGATGCATCTCGGAGGCTCTTGGCTGGTAAAGAGCAGCCACCACATGCTCTGACTCAGCAGAGCTGAGTTGCCTGGAGCCCCTGCCCATGACCTTGGTGCATGGAGTCCAGAGAGGGCTGGCCAAGACCTTCCCTTCACACTCAAGGATGCACACCTGCAAAGACAGAGGTGGGAGGAAGGATAAAGACCAGTGATGTCTATTAGTCCAAGGCAATGAGAAGATAAAGTCCCTCTATCATCTATGTCTGTAATGCAAGCACTTCTGAGGCATCTCAAGTACCATGCAGCAGTTTTACATGTGGTTTGTTAGGTTCATAGAATTTCAGAGTTGGAAGGAAACAGAAAACTATCTGGTCCAGCTCCACCATTTCACAAATGAAGAAACCTGGGGCTCAGAGAGGTGAGGTTAACTTACCCTAGGTGACACAGCAAGTTAATGCAGAATGAGAGCACCAAAATTGCACCCAGTTATAGCCTTTTTTGGGCTTTTGGAGCCAAACACAGCTTGTGAGGGTCCCCCATAAGGATGGATTTTATTTTGCTCTTTTATCAGGCTTGGGGGAGGTCAGATTGACTGAAGAAATTGGGCATGTCAAAGTGTGTAGTTAAATCTGCATGGTTATTTGAAGGTCACCAGGTAAAGATCAACCTTGGTGGTGTTAGTTCTTCACCCTACATACACTATTCATCATCATCTGTGCATGATTTATAGAAAGTGAGGGTCAAGGGTCTAGGCGGGTTGGACAATCTGGTTCCAGATGAGGAAGAGGGACCATGAGATGCAATCCAGTAGACTCGCCAGGCTCCTGGGAACTTGTGACGCTGCTCTGCCTCTCCAGGTGTCTCCCACTTCTCGTCTAGACCACCAGCCTGACCACGATGTTTCCCCATCCCCTTCTGACTGGTCGTGACCTGGGCCCCACCGTCTCACATTCTTGTCTCTGATTTGGTCTCCTGGAAGCCTCTGACTCCAACTTTTCTTCCTATTTACTGGTTTGGCTTTACCCCAAATGCTCCTCTCTGTGTTTCTGACCTTAATCAGATGAAAATCCTACTTCAGCCTGACCTTGCCGCCATGGGCAGCATGAAGCTGCAGGGTCTTTTCTCAAACCTTGGAACTCTTGCCTGGCTTAAGGACACCAGGAGTTACTGCTCTCTGTGGCACATGAGAAGACTGGTGTGTGTGCCCCATAGCCCCTATCTGGGGGTCAAAAACACTCAGCCAGGTGTTCAGGGTGGCACAGATGCTCTACTGGCAAGTTTCTAACCTGATCCCTAACCAAGGAGTGAGATGTGCATGCAGCTTAAATCACAGACCTCACAGGCTGTTCCACCAAACTCTAGAAAGATCTCCTTCAATCCTACTTCTCCTGCAAGGCTTTGCCACCCTTGACCCTGACCCCCTTTTGTCACTGCCAGGCTTCTCCAAGATGTGATGTGCACTTACGCCTCTACCTCAGCATCTTCCACTTTCTCCTCAACTTGAAGTATGCTTCCCACCCTCATCCACGCCACTAACTTTGCCTTCTTGAGGACCACCAGTGACTTCCCAGTCACGGGACCTAATGGTCCTGCTTAGCCCTCATTCTCCTTGACCCTGCAGCATTTGGCAATGCAGACAACACCCTCTAGAAAGTTCTCTTTCTGATATTGCACTCACATCTCAGACTTGGTGCTCCTTCCTCCTGTGTTCCTAAGATTCTGACTTTAAACTTCTTCTCCGCTCTCCTTACAATCTGCCCCTTGGTGACTTTGTTCATTTCTGTGATTTTGGTCATCACTTTCTCAGGATATCCCAGGTCTATATGTCCAGCATCTGATATCTCCTGAACTTCAGACTCTGATCTCCATCTGGAATCCCCATCAAATTGCCTGACCAGCACTTTAAGTGAAATTTGTTAAGAATGAAGTCCACCTTCCCTTCTGGGGCAGAGGCTGCCAGTTGCCCATTCCATACTCATCTCCCCTCTTCCTTACTAACAGAATGCTTGTTTTCTTCCTGAAGGCCACACGTATGTTTCCCAACCTCCTTTGTAGCCAGAGGTGGCCAAACACATATAAATGGAAGTGACCAGGTGGGACTTCCGGGAAACTAGGGGGCTGACTTAGCTAGGAAGAACATCGTTCCACTTCCTCCAGCCTCCTGCTTAGAATGTGGACATTTTGGCTGGTGCTCAATTGGCAATCTTGAAACCAAGAGGTGACTCAGAGGATAGAAGCCATATGAGGATGGCAGCCATTTACAGGTAAAGCAGAAAGAGAATGAATCTGGGACATTGGTGATGGAGTGGAGTTGTTATTCCAGCCCTGGACTGCCTGCCTCCCAACTTTTTTATGAGAAATCAAATTTGTCATATTTAAGCCACTGTTACTTTAGGTTTTTGTTACTAGCAGGTGAATTTGCTTCTTATCTGATATACTTTCCCCACCCCAAGTCTGCCTTTCTGCTCAGTCTCTGTGTGTCTGTCTCTGAGTGTCACCTTATTCCCCAGTTGACTTGGGTTTAGAATATCTGGGCATATCCTCAGCGTCTCCCTCCTCCCAACTCCCATTATGCCATCCAACCAGTATGTAAGCCTGCCCCTCCTTTCCATCCCCTCTGCCTAAGTACCTCTTAGGGTGCAGTGGCTTCCTAACTGATCGCCCCATCTCTGACCCCAGCTGCTGGCAGAATAGTCTTCCAGAAGAATAGATCTAGTCACATCATTACTAGCCCACAACTGTCCAATATTTTGTCTTTGTCCAAAAAACAACTCCAGACCCCTGAGTGGAGCATTCAAGTACCTCCGCCATCTGGTCTTAGCCCATCTTTCAGTCTTATTTCTGATTCCTCCTCACTGCACCCCTACCCCTGGCCCTGCCATGCCTTTTCTCACTATGTTCCCGCTGGGAATGACCTCCTTCCATCCATCCTTTGGGGCCAGCCAAGCTCCAGAGTGACTCCTCTATGACACCTTCTTCTAGTTCCCTGGCCAGAATTGCTCTCTCCTGCCTCTGTGTTCCCACAGAACTTTGTATTGCTGTTGTGGAAATTTATGTGGTTAATATAATTATAATACCTCACAAGGCAGATTATGGCAAATTAGAGACCTCATCTTACTCATGCTAAGATCATTTACAGGAATCTTCTGCATCTAGTAAATAGTGGGGTTTCAACAGAGATTTGTCAACCTGAGTCGAATCAATTAAGAAGTCACCTTATGCTTAGCTAAGTGTGAAAAAGAGAAAATTCTTTTAAAAAAGAAAAAGGACGAGAAAGAGAATCTCCGAAAGAACAGGAGTTTCAGCTTATTGCAATGGGAACTCGCCCCATCCCCCGCCCCAGCACTTGGTAAAGGCTTCTGATGTCATACTTGTCACCCTGTACAACTCTCTGTTTACCTGATTACTTGTCTTTCGCATTAGACCAGGGTTCCCAACCTTTTGTGGGTCATGAACTCTTTTGAGAATCTAAAGAAAGCTATGGACCCACCCTTTCACCATATAAATGCACACTCATGTCAAATGTGCATACAATTTTAGAATGTTCATAGATCTGCTTTTCTTTTCTTCTTCTTCTCCTCTAAGCCCTCCAGTACATAGTTGTATATTCTAGTTGTAGGTCCTTCTAGTTCTACTATGTGGGACGCCGCCTCAGCATGGCTTGATGAGCGGCGATAGGTCCGTGCCCAGGATCCTAACTGGCAAAACCCTGGGCCTGTGAAACAGAGCACGTGAACTTAATCACTCGGCCATGGGGCTGGCCAAGGGCTCATAGATTTATAAAACCATGGACTCCAGGCTAAGGACCTCTTTACTTGGCTGTAAGTTGTGCTGTAGGGAGAGTCTATATGCATTCCAGCCACCTAATACCTGGGATATGAAGTGGAGACCATACTGAGGATGAGAAATGGAATCAACAGGAGAAAGGATGGGATCTGCAGCTGAAGTCACCCACTAGCCATACTGGGAACCAGCCCCAACTCTTCTTGTGTAGCAGCAAAGCGTTGCATAGAATGCTAGCACTAGGAGGACCCTTAGGCAACACCTGGTTCAATGGCTCCTACACCTGGGTGTGAATCCAAATCACCTGCAGAACTTTAAAAAACACAGAATTTCAAAACCCAGCTAAATCCCTGAGGAATAGAACCACAGTTTAAAACATTTTTACAAAGTTCAGGTAATTCTGAAATTTGCCTAGGTTTGGAAGTCACTGATGTAGTCCATGTTTGCATCTTACGAGGAGGTTTAGTAATGTGTCCAAAACTACACTGTTAGAAAACAGTATAACCCGAACAAGAACTCAAAAGTTTCGAGTCCCAACCCAGGACATCTCCTACTCAGTGTCCTCTGTGTGCTTGCAATACGGATTAATGGAAATTAACGAGAGAATAAGGATCCTGAGACAAAAGGTAAGGTTCTGATGGGAAAGTTGCTCATTTTCTGCTGGACCAGAGAAGAGAAAGAGACAGTATCCGATGGGAATACCACTTACCTTCACTGGTAAGGCTTCCAAGGAGCACCCTCTGCCAAGCCCACCTGCTAGCCAGAGGCGGTGGTTTTGGCACCTACTGATACTCAAGCTGTGGCTGTTCTGAGCAAGTCTTTTCCGTTTGGATTTTTCTCAGAGATGCTGGCAGAACTAACACATCATCGGTGCCAACTCGGCAGAGGTACATAGAGAAACCGCTTTTTCACACTCACAATGTCACTGGATATGAAAGAATCGTGGGCAACTTCCATAGATGAAGAGGGCGGACTTTTGAACAACGATAGCTGCAGACTGGAGTGTTCTTTAAGAATCACTACTGAAGCTTGTTAGAATGCAAAGTCTTAGCCCACACCCCTGGAGATTCCGAGTCAGAAGCCAAGGGTGGGGCCCAGGAATTTGCATTTGTAGCAAGCACCCCCAGGTGATTCTGAAGCTGGACAACGCTGAGAAATTCTGCTTTGGAACAAGCTCTGAGGAGGAAGAAGCCATCATGGAACGCAGTGGTCAGAGATTCTTCCAAAGGGTCACTGGGGTCTGTACTTAGCCTTCTCCTAAAACACTTTGAAGAAAATCACGTAGAACCAATCTGTAGTATGTTATTTCAGATAATTATCCTATTGGGTTATTATTCTATAGCAGTGGGTGCGATTTTGCCCCCTTGGGGACATTTGGCAGTCTGGTGACATTTTTGGTTGTCACATGGTGGGCATGGGGGATGCTACTGCAGAGGCCACGGGTGCTGGTAAACATCCTGCAATGCACGATAGCCCCCCCACACAACAAAGAGTTATCCAGCCCAAAATGTCCACGGTGGTGAGTCTGAGAAACCCTACTCTACAGAGTCAACGAGAAAGCAGGAGAGCAGGGTAGCACTGGGAAATCCAGTAGAAGTGTAGAATTTTGGAGCTGAAATGGACCTTTGCACAATCGGTCCAATCTTTGCAGAATTGGAGCCCCCAATGCTTGTTGAGTTGTTCCGCTCCTTCAATTTACAGGAACAGGTGGAAGTTGTTAAACCTGGAGGCTATTAGATCTGTGAGCCCCTGGGTTTCTAAGCCCAGATGGTAATTAGATTGTGTGTCAATCCGAGAAAATGAAATTCTGTGATCAAACCAGATGCATAGCCTGTATGGAGACTTGACATACTGTTTAGATGAATTAGGTACTAACAAAATCATCTCAACTTTCGATTTAGGAGAAAATTTTGGGCAAATATGAGGAATCCAAATTCACAAGAGCATTTGTAGCACCAGATGGACATGTGAGCTTAATGCGTAACCCTGTGGTCTGAGGGACCCAGCAGCCTCTTTACAGAGATGGGTTAATGGTCTATTAAGTAAGCTGAACACATTTTCACAGCCCACGCTGATGGCATTGCTATATTAAGCCAGGGTTCGGGTGAGCATCTGGAAGTCTCAGATTGGTGCCAAATTGATCTGTAAAGCTGGGCTTGTGGAGAAACTGAGCAAAGGGCCATTTGGATGTCTGGGATCAAAGATTAGGGAAACAGGCACAGGAACCCTTAGGAAGGAGCAGAAGAAGGTCACTGAGATTGCCAAGTTTCTGCTACTAAAGAATGAAACCACTTCTGACCAAGAGAGATTTGGGAGCTGTTTCCTTCAAGAGGTGCTGCTAGAATGCCCAAGGGCTGACACGAACAGGCCAGCAGATGAATAGTGCAAAAGAAAAACGTGTAAGGAACTCCTACTGCCAATCAACCACTGAGTTTTCACATAATGAAGATAGAAAGCGTGAGCAGAAGTTGTTCTTTTGCTATTAATAGAGCTTTAAGAAGTTTTAAATAAATTTCCACAGATCTTTCTTGGGGGTTACCTTCTGCTTTGTCTCTACAGCAAATCAGTGAATCTAGTTTCTTCTACTTAAGCTGATGGGGTAAGTACCATCCATATTTAGGTGAAAGCCCAGGACATTGCAGTGGGTTTGGGTGTGTGAGTCATTTACTGACCAAAATTATAGTCTAACAAAAAGCCAGCCATACTTGGACCATACCTAATCGACCTGGAGTGAGAAATAAAGAAATTCTTGATGAAGCCAAGGGTCCAGAGGGTTCTGGGAATAGCTCGGGCTTGCATAATTTCATGGAGGGATTGGGAAGGTGGCCTTGGCTGAAATATCTGAGTCCCCCCATCATTCACAGAGTGGACAGATCCAAGGATTGTGATATTTGGAGATGAGATGTGGTTGCCTACATTTTAGGCATTTCATAAAACTTTTAAAAATAGATTAAAAGTGAATACGAACTAGAAACCAAACAACCAGGCAGCCAGGTCCCCAGGGGGTCAGCAGGCACTGTGAGGGGTTCATCCTTCACTGTGAGGCTATAACTGGCCATTTTCTAACTTGTTTCAAAGAAGTAACTCACAGTGTTAAACCCAGAGATTTAAGATGCTATGGAGAAATGGAAACATGGTCCAAATTCTTTACTGGTTTCCAAAGACACCAACGTAAAAATCTCTGCAGTGTCTGCCGTGGATGTACATACCTATCGGAGATGAAAGTTCTTGCAATTTTACCGTTTCCACAGGACATGCCTATTGAGCACTTCTCTGTACCACAGACTGTGCTACACGCTGGGATCCCCAGAACCATCAGAAAAGGAAGCGTGCACCTAATGGTGAGAGATGGACTAGCAAATACAAGTATCTGCAGAGCACAAAGGATGGAGAGGCTGGCTCTATTGGGGGCAGGTGGAGAATCAGCAAAGTGTTCTTGTAAGAGGTGAAACTTAATGTTGGTTTTGAAGGATGAGGGGGATTTATTAGCTGAGGGAGGAGGGAGAGGCTCGCACAAGATGGCAGGGCTAGTTCCAGGAGCAGAGGGAAGGCCAGGAAAGGAAGGCGAGATTTCCTGGGAAGTGTGGAAAGTGATTGGAGCCCAGGAGAGAGGAAGGGAGGAGTGTACCTTTGGGAGTTCTGTGTCACCTGAGGGGAGCCAAAGGCCTGGGATATGGGTATGGCATCTCAGAGGGAGAGAGTACATAGAGGTAAGAAGCAGGAAATCTTGGAGATCACTTATGTTTAGTGGGTAGGGAGAGGAACAGGAGCCCCACAGGAGGCAGCAAAAGGAGAGTCAGAATGGAGAAGAGAGCCAGGCAAGTTTGCCAAGAGAGGGCAAGGAGCAAATCAGTCCCAGGATTCAGTGGTTAGGAGTTGCTGGTGACTTCCAAGAGAGCAGTGAGTGAGTCAAAGTTGCAATCTTTCAAGAAACATGACAACGAAGGGAAGGAAAGAGCAAGCGGCGGAAGGGGAAAAGGAAGGAGAATGCTCAGCAGGAAAATCAAGGGTACAAAGGAAGGAGGAGGAAGAAGGGGCAGGAGCACAGACGGGAGGCAGGTGGGGAGGACAAAGACAGAGCCCAGGGTGGCGGTAAGGAGGCTGGAAAGAATTTGTACTTGTTGGGCTCCGTCTTCTCAGTACAAGGCAACCCAAGGTCATGGCGTCCAAGGGGCTGGGAAGGTCACTAGTGCTTAACAATCAGGGGTGATGTTTGTTCCAAAGAGAAGTCGGAGCCAGTGCAGGAAGAGCTTGGTGTTTGGGTCTGTCGGGGCTGTGTCTGCTCATCCTTAGAGCGTTAGCCCAACACAAATGCTTGGTTTCTATATTTGTACATTTGCCTTAAGGAACAGTAGTTACTTTTGGTTGTTTTTAAAGGTTGAGGAGTTTGAAACATGGCATGTTTTGAAAAAAGTTTATCAGACTATAAAGAAAAAATAATTGTTGTATTGGATTCGATAGGAGAGGAGTAACTATTTAGACGGAAATGAAAGCAGTTGAGAAAGTAGCTTATTTAATGAAAAGAAATTTAATGCAGGACTTGCACCTCAAATTCAAAATTTAAAATATAAGCGGGCATTTAGGCATTTATTGTAGAGTTATCTATAATATCAAAAAATGGAGGGCAACATACATACTCAACAGGAGGGAAATGGTTAAATTATACTATATTCATAGAAAGAAATTACTTAAAATAATGTTTAATAACACAGGAAAATTATCCTGATATAATGTAGCAAGTGAAAAAACTGGGATTCTTCCTCTAGTGAGTTTAAAGGTGATTTTAATTTTCATTTTTTATACTTCTGTGAATTCGCTAAATTCTCTAAAATGCGTATACATTATTTTAATAATGAGAACAAAATGGCAGCATGGGCAGGTCTTCATTTGAATGTGGTAAAGTGGAAAGATGACGGGGTTTGTGTTCAGAAAATGCTCAAGTCCTGCGTCTGTTTCCTGCTGATCACATGACACCGGGTGAGTCACATGACCTCTAGGTGAGGCCTTAGTTTCTCATTCTGGATCTGCTCTGGCGGAGGGAGAGAGGAGAAGACAGCGATGCTCCCAGACCTACCCCAAGGCTGAAGCTGTCGAGAGCTGGGTGGAGCTTCTCTCTGCAGGCCAGGCAGTCCTTCTGGCAGCTGCTGGACACGCTGGAGAAGAGGCTGAGCAGCAGGAGGTCACAAAGCAGGATTTTCATGGTGCAGGAGCCGGGAGCCAGTTGCTAAAACACAAGCGAGGGTGGGTGGCAGTTAGAACAGCCATTCTGTGTGGGCCAGTAGGGGCTGGGGGCCCTCGCACAGGGGATGCAAGAAAGATACTCTTTGGAGGGGACGGTGTGAGGGCCCGAGATTCACCTCCCAGGAGGAAATGGATTGTCAAGGGCACAGGTGGTCTGCTCCTGCAGCCAGGCCTAATGGTCATGCAGGGACTAGTGTCTGGGCTCCTGGGGAGAGCACACCTCTGCGATTCCTGCCACCCAGCTGGCCTTGACATGCACGAGTGATTCCGGGGAGCTAAAGGCCTCACTTCGCAGCTTACCAGTGTGTGACCTTAAGACAACCTTTCCAAGTCTCAGTTTTCATAGCTATAAAAGGGGAATAGTGGTCCCTGCCTTGTCACAGGGCTGTTGCAAAGATGAGATGAGATCCGCAAGGAAAGTTTTGTAAAGTGCCTTGCAAGAGTGAGATGCGTCAAACATGAGATTTACGAGTGACTCATGTACCTTGTCTCATCCTCCCCAGCCCCGACCAGGAGTGACCCACGTCCCAGAATGTGCTCTTCCTGGAGGCTTCTGCCACGTTGCTTGTCCATTTCCCCTGCTAGATGTGAGCTAGCTTCCTGAGCACACGGCCAGTGCTATGTTCACCTTGCTCGTCCACGCAAAACACAGAACAAGGTGTGTGGAGTTATTTATTGAAAAATGAACAAAGAAACTATTCTAAGGGGATAGCTCTAATGATGACTAGTTAGTTAGCTCAGTAGTTTATATTCTTTGTGCAGGATGGCCTGAAAGATGCACAGTTTTTCCTCTTCCTCTTTACATTTATCCTGTGATCAAGCCTCCTGGATCAGAAAGCTATTTCGTTGGACTGCATCATTTTGGGTCCTGTAGAACCATCTTTACTTGGAGGATTTAGAGAAAAGGGGAACAAGGGAACTTTCTAGACATGTTGTGAACATTCTTGATTGGGCTGTAGGTCACAGGGGTGTATACATTTGCCAAAAACTATTGAATTGTACATTTAAATTCTGTGCATTTCACTGTACGTAAATTTTACTGAAAAAAAAAGAGTTCAGTGTAGGAAAACAAAAATAATTGCCTTGATGGCTTTTTCACCAGACTATACTGAGAAAAGTATAAGCTTTGCTGCTCAAATGCAGTGTGTGAGCAGCATCATCAGCATCACTTGGCATCTTGGTAGAAATGCAGACTTTCGGGCCCTACCCTAGAACCACTGATTCTAGATCTGTGTTTTTTAGCCAGATCCTCAGGTGATTTGTGCAGATGCTGAAGTTTGAGAAGCACTGGTAGAAGATGGATGTGAAATGGAGCAAGTCAATAGGAGGAGGAAGGGGATGCTGCAGTTGAGGTCACCCAGTGGCCATATGGAGAGACCACCCCAGCTCTTGTGCATCATCTAAGGATTTCATACCAAGAGGATGTCGACTAGCATATGCTCAATCAGTGTTTAAGTCAATGAGGTGACATTTGAGATGGGTTTTGAATGACGAGTAACAGTTTGCCAAGAGGACAAGGAAGGGGGCATCTGAGAGACTCAGGAAGCAGCCTTTTCAAAGGCATAGAGGAGTCAGAACCATAGCCTGTGAGGGGATAGGGAGCGGGCTGGTGTGCTGGGGCCACCTGCCTGCACTCCCTAAGGGAAGCCCCCTGCCAAAAGAGAGGCTTGATCCAGAGGAATGGGGTCTGCTTTGCCATCCTGAAGGGTTTGAGCTTTACCCTACAGGTTATGAGAGTCCCAGGCTGAGGAACATGAGCATCTATACAAATGAATATATCTCAAACGCAGTTTTTCTTCTCTATCCCGAGGGCCAGTACCTTACTTGAGATTTATTGCCTTGGGTACTGTGATAGCCTCCTAATTAGTCTGCCTAATGATCTGGCTTCCCACCAAGCCTTCTCCAAATTGGATGATGTCACTTCTCACTTAAAATAATTCTATAACCCGCGTTGGGACTCAGCATTGCTCCTGCTCACTTCTCTAGCTTCGTCTCCCATCACTCGCCCTTGTGCCTCCTCTCGTCCTAGTGAAGCATGTATAATTCCCAGCTCTATTGGGTCCTTAATGCCTTGGTGAAAGGACTTCTTGGTACTTGCTCTTCCTTCTGCCCAGAACGTCTGTCTCTAACTGATACTTCATACACACCTCAAGACTTATGCCCTCTGGGAAGCCATCTCCAATCCTGGTCTGCGTTAGATGAATCTCCTCTGCTTCTACAGCATTGGGATGCAGCACATCCTAGCCAGAAGCAGGGGAGGCTCAGGGGCCTGCCTGTCAACCAGGCACAACACATCTTTGTCACAGAGTTGTCATGATTAGCATTTTCTCATCTGCTCGTCACTACAGACTGCCTGGGTTCACATCCCAGGTCTGCAACTCAACCTCTGTTTCTCATCTGTAAAAATGGGACAGTAATAGGACCTATCTCTTGTGACGATTAATGGGTTAATGTTTGAAGGAGTTAAAATGGCACCTGGCACATGGCAAGTACTATAGAAAAGCAAGAGCCCACACAGAGCCTTCACTCTATAACTCCATCACTGTCTCTCGCAGGGCACTGATCACGCTGCACGGTAAGCTTGGACTATGTGTCTATTTCCCCTACTGGCTGTGACTTCCTGAAGGGCAGAGATCACGTTCTATGGTCCTCTGTCTTTCTGTCACCCAGCACAGGGCACTTAGAAGATGCTAAAAATGTTTGATAAATGACAGTGGAGTATCTCAGGAGCCATCATCCTTCTCCTTAGCAAGTGTAGGGTTGAGGAGTGTCTAGGAGCCTCTGCCTCATTGGGGGGCCGGGATGCTCATAGCACGGGAGCCACTTCAGGACCTATGTCACTGACAAAGCTTCCATTAGCTAATTGTTCAGTTCAAGAAGGGAGGCATATGAACTAGTTTTGTTTCAGGGCAAGGCAAGATGCCATCCTAAGCTGAACTTCCACATGTGTTACAAACGGCGGTGAGGCATGGTTGGAATAGTTCTATATGCTAAGTTTGTACAGGTTAATTAGGTGTTGGTAGACAAGCTATGGAAGCTCATCACCACTTACAGGTCCATTTTTTTGGGTGAAGAAGATTTGCCCTGAGCTAACATCTGTGCCAATACTCCTCTATTTTGTATGTGGGATGCCTCCACAGCATGGCTGACGAGTGGAGTAGGTCTGAGCCCGGGACCCTCATCCGCAAACCTGGGCTTCCGAAGGAGAGTGCGCGGAACTTTACCCACTCGGCAATGGAGCCAGCCCCCTCTTACAGGTTCTTTTGAAGAGAAAATGAATCTTGAGTTCCAAACAGCCACCATATAAGCAAATGTCTTAAATTTAGGACTACCTTAATAAGCCTTTTGTTTACATTGAGAATTGCCTTTATATTTCTTATTCTACTGACTTTCAGTTTTTCTAGTCAGGAGACATTTTTGTAGAATTTGTCCCAAATGGCATGGCTGTGCTCTTTACGGCCACATGATGGCAGTGCCTGTATGTCACAGAAGAAAGGGAAGGAGAGGAGAAGAGACTGCTGCCTTTCCTTCCTAATACAAAATCGCAATCCAGAAGGTTTGCGTAGGCTGAGCTGATAAGTGGTGACAGATGTTAATGAAATGCTCTCTGGCTGAGGTTTTTCGTGAACTTCATTAACCGGGGCAACTTGCACTTTTGGGAAATGTTTGCTGGATTGACTGATACTTGTTATCTCAAATTCTGGGTAAACGGGTTTTTAGGGTGAGGTGAAGAAAGAAAATGAACTCCTGGGACATTTAGCATGTGTTCGATTTGGTAGCCTTCTTGCATGTAAAATGTGGGCCTTCTTTGGTTTGGCACTAGTCCATGGCACGCCTCTCCTCCACTTTCCCACCTCGCTCCCTCTCTAGCTCCCACCCCTCACTTTTAACAGGTGACCCCACCCATTATTTAAAAACCATCCATACTCAATGCTATTCATTCTCCTCTGCAATTCAAAGAATCCTTAGAACGGGAATGACAGCACAGTCCTATCTCACTGGCGGTTTGTGATATTTAAATGAGATTAATATAAACGAAAGCTCAAAATATATGTAATTATCTTTAAAAAGAGGACAACATTTTGTACTTTTGGATGCTCCTCGCAACACTTGATATGGTTGTGTTCTAGGTTGGGTTAGATTTGGAAGTTTATTGAAAACTCAATGGAAGTTTTTCATTTTTAAGAAGTCTTGACAACATCTATGTGCTTTTTTTGTTGCTTTGTCTATAAGTTAATGCCAATTAAGGTGAAAGCGAGTAATTAGTTAATTCACGGGTTATATTTATGTTTGATCTTTACACTTTGTGACTTTGGGCAAGTATTTCCCCTCTGAGAGCTTCAGTCTTCTCTACTGCAAACTGGGGGTAACAACAGGTTTTTGTTGTTGTTGTTTATTGTACGATACTGACCATCAGTAAATAAAACTTCCCTGAACGTGTTTGAATTTTATGGCTTGCATTTCACTGGTGAGCCAAGCTCAGCTAACACTTCTATAATCTGGACATCTCGTACTGAATAAAGAAACGTTTAATTACCTTTTAGTTCGGTAATGACACCTCATAAATCTAATTGTGCCTCACTGTTTATAAATTATAAACATACCACTGTGTTTCAGCCTTAATCTATTTGCATGTAATCTTGCTTCTAAGGGCAATATAATTCGTTGTTTATCTGTTTGGAGAATTACGTATGAAGCTTTAGCTGAAGCTAAAAGTTAATTGAGTTTTGTCTTATTACCTATGAGAGAGCCTGTAATTTTGGTGCTTTTAGTGGTGAAGGGAAGAGGAGCAGACTTCCCGCTAGAGGTATGTGCGTCCCCATCCTTCTCATCAACCACATGTGTAGATAGTGTTCTTTACAGGTTACAAAAGATTTTTATATCCACATACAACCCTATATCTAGGGTTAATATTATCCCCCTTTTGAGATGAACGTAAGTTCGTAGAGGTTAGGCAACTTGCCAAGATCATCCAGCTTATAAACAGCAGAGCCCTGACTCAAACTCAGAAATTTTGATGCCAAATCGTATGTTCTGGGAAACTAAACTCCCTATACTGGTGCTGCTTTGAAAGGCTGGCAAATTCTGGTGGAATCTCATTGAGACTGTCTCTTTGTATTTAATAGTAACTATTTAGAGTACTATGTGCCAGGCACTGGGCTAGCTGCTTTAGCATCCATCCTGTGGGGTAAATGCTATTATCCCCATTTTACAGTTTAGAAGACTGAGGCTTGACGGAGGAGAGAGAACTTAGAGTGGCAGCCCTGAGACAAACCCATCTGATTTCCAGGCTCATGCTTTCAATGGTCTCTGCAGTTATCTGGCAGTCTTTGCGTGGGTGAATTCATTCTAAGGACCTCCTTTTGATCTGAACTCTGGGCTTCCTGCTCCTCTGATAGCAATCTCTTTATTTTTATTGTTGCCTCTCCCCAGTTCAGAGGAAGTTTTCATTGCCCACCAGCACGGGGGTTTGTCTTTCACACGCCTCATTTCTTTGACCCGTTGCAGATAGGCCTCCTACACAGAGCTGTTACTTCTTCAGGAGCTATTACTGAGGGAGGCCTCTTGAGTTTCTTTTCCTCCTCTGACTAATACACTTACGTTGAAAAAGGTCCCTCTTCTGCTCTAAATTTCCACCTGGAAGGAGGGAATGGGCTTAGAGGAGGTGGAGGCCAAAGCAAGTTCCCTCCACAGACCAGGTAGGCCTGGTGCCGGGCAGCGCTGAACGAGCGGGAGCCCTGAGAGAGAAACGGGAGTCCCAGCTGCTAGCTCGGGCTCTGTCGCTACCCGGGGCATCTTGAGCAAGGCCCCTTCTTTCTCTGGGCCTCAGTTTCTCCTTCTCCAAAAGGAGGCAGTTGGAGGAGATAGTTAATATTTTTGATTTTATAAGTGGCCAGATATTTGTGATTTCCTGGTAAAGGGAAGCAAGAAGGAAGGAGGGAAGAGGGAGCGAGGATGAGGGTTTCACGAGCAAGCAGCTTCAGGGCAGCACAGGGCAGAGGCCAGGAGAGCAGGCCAGCTGGGGGCTCAGGCGAGGGCCTGGAGGGGCCACAGATACATCTCCTCTCAGGCTGCCACAAAGAAAGAGTGGAAATGTATCACTCTTAACCTTGATCTTCTGCTCAAAGCCAACGGGTCCACATATCCTGTTAAAATGGATTTTTAAAAGCTTTTATTTACTTTTATAATAAAATCACTCAACGTTCTTTTCAAAAAGATTAGAAAATACAGAGGAGCAAAAGAGCCATGGATCTAGACCAATAATCTTCACGCTTCTTTAACTGTATACCTCCAGCAATCAGCTTTCAGCACAAATTCCCAATTTATTTATTTGTAGGTTGTATACATTATAAAACCAACTAGAGTGCAAATTAAGAAAGAGAACAACATGAAAAAGCCTCGATTTCCTGAAGTCTGGTGGATCGTCGGGCACCCACGTCCCTTCTGGGCACCACTGGCCTAGACTTGCTAACATCTAGTGACGACACTGACGGTGAGTTCTGAGGAAGCTGAGGACAGTCTGACGGGTCTGTCTTCCCAGCTGTCAGCACTGCGCGGCTCCTATCAGGAATGCCACACACGTTTCTTGGCTGAATGAATGAAAAGCTGAATGGGGAGTGGGGGCGGGGAAGTGCGGAGACAAGTGAGAGAAGAGGGGCGGTTGGCTCTGAGCTGTGGTGGAAGGCAGAGCCCTGGATGGTGTATGTGTGATCCACCAAAATTTTCACGAGACCCAGGACTCCTCGGAGGCAAGCTCTCCACTTCCCCGCCAAGCCAGGGCATTCAGAGCTGGCCATGCTGCGTTTCTGCCATGCCGACGCAGCAGCCAGTATTTGAAAAACCACAGGACACATGGAAAGTCAAGACTGAATGTGATTGTAGCCTAACTAGGGAATTGCCCAGAAAATCAGGTTGGCCCTCAAATTGGAGTGCCCCAAATCTCACAGCTAGTTTGTGGTTAGAAGGAAATCTTCATGTTAGATAGAGGGAACACCTATAGACATTTAAATAAAAGTGTTTAGAAAATCCAGTTTGCCTAATGAGTTCCCAACCATTCAGGCCACTGCAAGCTGTTGTCACGATGACTCCTTTTTTCTGAGAAGGGCCCATCCCGCCCTCCCCCCCCCCAGCCCCGCCAGGATATCTGATAGGGAGCTCCATCCAGACCAGAAAAGAAGATTTCAAAGATTCCTTCCTGGGCTCTGGGCCCTGTAGGCTGGGGGATGAGGCTCAGTGAACCACGTTGATAAAACCATAGGACGCTTACCCTAAACCTCACATCTCTACCCCGCGTGTGTGTGTGTGCGCGCGTGTGCGTATGTGTATTAGCACCATGTAGACAAGTTGAGCTCACTGCCTGGCACACAGTAGGTTCAATAAATGGCAATTCCTTTGCCCACCTTTTGTGCCTTTGTCCCAGTAGCCCCCTCCCTCTCCAAAGCCCTTGACCCATCCAAGTTCTACCTCCTTTTCTGCCCCACTAGAATCCTCGGAACCTGAAGCCAGCGCTCCTTCCCCCGAGTTCCTCCAGCACCCGCTGTCTGGACGACGCCCGTTAGGACTTAATTACACCCAGGCTTGCCTGGTCCTCTAATTGTTTCACTGTTTGTGTTGCCCCACCCCCACTCCATTAGTTTGTAAGCACCCCCGACCCGAAGCGGGAGAGGCGCTGAAGCAGGGAAGACGGGACTCAGTCTTCTCTCTGCCAGCCCTGAAGAAATTACTTAACCTCTCAGCTTCAGTCTCCTCGACTGCAACACGGAGATAATGACACCACCTCCCAGGGCTGCCGCCGGGGATAATGGGTGTGAAAGCGCTAAGATGTAAATCGTTGTACGAATGTAAAGGGCTGTTATTATCACCTCTGTTGAATCCCCCCGAAGCCCCCGCGCGCCTCCCCTGCTTGGTGGAGTGTAGATGATAAACACCTGATTGATTGAATACAGACTAGCTTTGTGACAGCTCCTGTCGTAGGCTCCAGAGAGCACGGGTTGGAGCCTAATGCTGCAATTACTCCCTTCATTCACAAGGCAAAATCTCCTGCATTTTCTAAATCCCCGAGTACCCTCAGCCTTCAGCTGATAAAGCAGGGGCTACGGCCCTGCAGAGAACAAAATTGCACCCCGAAGCCGCCCCCAGGCTGCACCACAGCGCCCTCGAGGGTCAGTACATGGAACCGTGAAGGCTGCTCCTTTATAAGGCAGCGCTTGAAACCCTCCCCTACAGAAGACCCAGCAAGCCCAAATGGACGCTAATCCTTTTTGTTAAAGGTATCACACCATCAGTGGAAGTGTATCGAATATTTCCCTGCCACACTTTATAAATGTGAAAAAGGAGCGTGCGTGCAGCAGCCACCCACAGGCAGTGAGAAAGAGCAGCAATTTCTTTGGAAGGTTTTGATAAGAAGCCAGGCAGTTACTTTTCCCCTCTATGTTGAAAACTCTGGTTTAGGCTTGCTGGCGAATGCCGTGCAAAGCTCATCTTTTGTTCATCTGCCGAACAATGTTATTGGTTATAATTGGGGCAATTATGGGCTGCTCGAGGAAGCGAAACACAGATGTTTAAGCCCAGGATCAGGGTATTCAAGTCCAAAGCAGCTTGCTTTAAATAGTCCATTTCCCTCATCATCCTGCCTTACTTGAAATTCCCCTAGAACTTGCCCATGTTCAGAGTGAAATGGGGGGAGAAGGGGATGGGTAATGGAGGGAGGGGAAGCAAGACATGAAGGGAGAGAGATGCACAAAGAGAGGGAGAAAGAGAAGGAGGCTGAGGAAGAGCAAGAGAGAGTTTGGATGACTTCTGAACGTATTCCACCCGGGCAGAGACCGTCAGGTGGGAGAGATGGGGAGGAGGAGAAAGATGCAGAGAAAGATAATAGACCTCCAAATAACTCAGGGTCTGGGAACCAAGGTCATCCCTGCAGAAATCGATGTGGAATTCACACACAGCGACCGCACTCAGCAGTGTGCTGGTGGAGCACAACACCCCGGGTGCGACTTGTCCCCACCTCATTATTAGCAATTTCTATTCGATTCCCTCAGGATTAAAAACCTAAATCCAAATTAAGTTCAGTCATACATTGAAAACCAGCCTGAACACACTATGCGGGAAGGAAAGAGGAAGTCAGCCACAGAGAAATCACTCACAAGGGTGCCAGGGGTGGGGGGCATCCCGAGGGCTGCCCTGAAAGGCAAGCCCCCCCCTTCAAGTGCCTACCCCTCCTCTGAGCTCACTCCTACAGCCACCTTTCCTCAACAGATAGCAATGACAAAGTAGGTGCCTCATCTGGGGAATCAAAACTTTTCCTCATCTCCAAGTTCAGCTCTTTCTTCTTCTGCATCTCCCTTTAGGAGGAAAAACCTCAACCCTCCCCCTGCCACTCCCCATCCGAGCCCTGAAAATAAAATGAATGAAGAAATAATCTCACAGGAGGCCTGGAGCAGCCTGGATCCACACTGGACAAAGGACAGAGGCTGCGGCCAGCGCCCCGGCTGCCCTGCTCCTTCCCGGGGCTCCCGGCAGTCTGTCTTGGGGCTGGGGTTTGCATGCAGTTGCCTACCTGAGAGCTGTCAGTAGCTGGCTCCTTCGGATGTGAGGCTGGGTTCTCGTATCAGCCACACCAGCATATATATCCTCCCCGGCACACACACAGCCCTCCCCTTCCCTGCCCACCTCGATGACACATCCACACACTGACCCCCTTAATCAAGCCAACGGCAGAGCCTACAATCCTTCCTGGCCGCTGCTGCCCCCCAGCTCTGTGCTCAGACCTGTGACATCCCACCCTCCCCATCAGTCCACTCTCAAGCCTGCTTTACCTGGGCTCCGTTCAGCCAGGATCCCACAGCTGCTTCCCTTTGCTTCCAGAGGCACCCGAGGACTGACGGGGAGCTCTGGCAAGTCAGTCAGAAAAAAGACTCCTGGTGACAGTGGTGAGGCAGACCCCAGCCCTGGAGTCTCCTTGAGCAACCTTTTTGCCTGAAGAGTAAAGAATAGGAATCAGGCAGAAGGAGAGGGAGCTCACACCCGGCTGCCACAGGCACGGAGAAGTCCAGAGCTGAGCTGAGTCAAGCCCCTTCCTATTGTCGTTGCCCCACAGGCAGCAACAACTAGGCCACTCGGGAGTGGCTCCACCTGCCACAGGCCAGGTCAGGAGGCGTCTCATTGGTGCCTGCAGCATGGCACAATGTAAAATGCTGAGACTTCACACTCAGAACGAAGTGTCTGAAATTCTGGCTCTGCCATCAGACCAAGTTGCTCCTCTTTGCGAACCTCAGGTCTTCCTTCTCTAAAATGGGTGTAATACCTCCCAGGATGGTTCTGAGCAGAAAAGCGAGATTCTGTTTGTATTTGAAACATATGAGACTTTTCATAAATGTGAGTTCTGCATGCTTTCTATCCTTTTTACATTAAACAATACCAGATGAATCTAAAAATCCCCCGTCAGCATCTCATGTCACATCAGAGCGCTTTTAAAGCTGCTGCTGTAACTTAGGGTGTCACAGCTAACTGCCTTAGAGTCTCAGAAGCTGCTGAAGACGCCCCTCGGCTCGCTGTGGAGCCTCCTTCCCTTCTCTGTGGGGGGTAGCTCACGGTCAGCCCAGGCAGGAATGTTAGCTTCTGCAGCGTCCTTGGGGGTCCTCCTTTCCTTGCCCTGGGAGAATTGTGCCATGACCTCCTCCTTGGCTCTCCCAAGAAGATCCAAAAATATTCCAGAATCTCAGGGTCTGAGTCTGGGTTGTCCAAGGGGCTGAAGTAAGTCTAGCTCTCTCATCGATCTGAGATGGGTGGAGAAAGATTTGAGAAAGCATCTGCTCTGACTGCTAATGGGTATGGGGATTCTTTTTGGGGTGACGGAAATGTTCTGGAATTAGAAAATGCTGATGGTTGCACAGCATAGTGAATATACTACAAGTCATTGAATTTTACACTTTAAGATAGCGAATTTTATGTTATACGAATTATATCTTAATGAAAAAATAGATGGAAAGCAAGCAAGCAAGCACCTGCCCCAGATTAAGAGCAACAAGTTTTAAGATTAAAACTTCCCTCCCATTTGTATTCACAGCCAAAGGGCCCAGGAGATCTGCACACCCATGATTTTCCACGTAGGTCTCTATTGCTCGAACCTTAACTCTTTGTTACCCCAGGTCAAAGCTCCCGCTTTGAACCTGAGAAGTCATCACGACTGTGGCAGTCTTGCCTCCTGATGTATGCTGGGGTCCCAGGCTGGAGCTTGATTGCCCCGTGTGGTGGCAGATGTTGCAGGTTCCCTACCTAATACCCAGTCCCCTGTTCTTCCTTACTAAACAGTACCCTTGATTTCCTTCTAGGTGGCAATGTGCTCCACCTAGAAGAAAATCAAAGCTACATTTGCCACCCTTCCTTGCAGCTAAGGGTAGCCAATGAAAGTCAATCTGCTAGTCATTGAGTGGGGCTTCTAGCAAAGCTCTTTTAAAGCGGGCCAATTCAGCTAGACAAGTCCTCTTCTTTGCCCTCCTTCCCCCTGCCTGGAGCATAAATGTGATGGCTGGAGCTATAGCAGCTATCTTGGATCGTGAAACAACTTTGAGGATGGAAGCCATGAGCTAAAGATGATGGAGCATAAAGATAAAAGGATTCTGGTAGTCATCTGGTCCCAAGATGACTATGGAGCTGCCATACCAATCCTGGATTTCCAAACTCCAATTTTTTTTTGAAGAGGAAAAACTCAAATATTTATTTCAAATATCAGTCAGGGTTCAGTTAGCTTTTGCTGCATAACAAGCCACACCATAGTAAGAAGCTTAACCAACAAACCATCTATCTGGCTTGTAATACCACAAATTGGCATTTTAGGCAGGGGTCAGCAGCACAGCTCTGGTCTCAGTTGGGCTCCCTCATCATTCTGCAGTCAGCTGCAGGTGGAGTCAGAGGTAGGTTGCCTGGCTGTCCGCTGGGGCACCTGCGTTCTCCTCCACGTGTTTTATCCCTCCCATGTCCCTCATGTCCCTTCAGCGGGCTGGTCTGGTGTGGTCTCAGAGCAAGGCTGAGGTGCGCGCACAAGCAAATACAGTCAAGCAGGGAAACAAGCCGAAGAGGGTAGCATTCCTTGAGGCCTAAGCCATTGCTTTTGCTGCATTTGTTGGCTAATGGCTGTCGCAAGGCCAGTCCAGAGCCAGGGTGGGTGGTGACTTTTCACAGGACAAAGGGGGTGGCTACAGAGAGGAGCCATTGATAACTTCAATCTACCGTGTTTCGCTTAAGCCACTTATTTGGATTCTCCGTTAACGCAGTAGAAAATCGTCTGAAATGATACACCTGCCTTTGAGCACCTAGTAATTCCTAGGGTGTTTGGTAGCTGAATACTTTTTCTTTCCTTGAGGGAAAGAAAAAGCAAGAGTGAAAAGTCACTTAACTTCTCTGAACTTTTTTCCTCATTTACCAAAGGGAAGAGTCAAACCGAATGACCTGGAAGTTCTCTTTGGGTTGAATGAGGCCACACGCTGTGGTCGGCTGTGTCCTGAAACACGTGGAGGGGGAGGCTGGAATGGACCCAGGAGGGTAGTTTACAACCACTGCTGGGTCGGGGAGAAGAACCTTGCCTCTCGGAAAAGCAAGAGGAAACTAGAAAGCACGCACTCGGTGTGGTGCTCACGCTGACTTACAGGCTTTTTCCTCAGCACTTGGCCCCTGACCCGTGGCACTGAGGTCCTCGGGCTTCCCCCAGGTGGCAGGTTGTAGAGCCGAGAGCTGCCTTCTGCTCTCCTGACTGACGGTATACATTTATTAAAGTCGTTGGGGAGGAACGGTCACACAGCCTCATTTCCAACAATTACGAGGCAGTGGAAGTTCACTGCTGCCCAGACTGGCTTGCCATCCTCTTGCAACGGAGAGGCTCCAGCGCGGGGGCTGCAAGAATTAGACTCCATTCACTTCTGACAGGTAAGTTTAGAGGCAGATTTAGAAGCTCTTAAAACAGCCACCAGGACATTTCAGCAAGAGGGAGTGCAAGGGGAAGAAGGCAGCCCTGGGTGGGCTCCCTCGCGGAGCCCCTTGAACCTCCAGCCACCCAGCAATTTTCCCCGTTCAGGTAGAGAGCATCTCACTATCAAGTGTTTGGCGGCTTGGAATTCGCTGATTGACTGTGGCGCCTCCAGCCAGTTGGTCTCCTTAGTAACCACGCCAGCAGGGTCCCAGCTGGAAAAGCTGCTGCTTATTTTCAAAGAGGGCAAACTCTCTCCACGTTTTAAAACACCTTAAATCGGAGCACAAACGGATTTTTGAAAGAGAGAGACACAGGTGCTTCTGTACAACTTTGCTTCCAAAAATGGATGGGCTTTATGGGCGATTGAGGAAAGTTGAATTTTAGTGTTCTGTAAGAGCTGGGTTTTAAATGGAGAGTTAGGCAAATACAATTTCAAGGTGAACAGCCAATTATTGCCTTTGCAAGTGTAGGTTTTCCCTCCCAGAGTATCCAGCCACCTGCTGTGCTAGGTGACCTGAGATGAAAGGGAGCTGGACACAGGTGTGCTTGCCCTCGAGAAGCTAGCCTGGGCACAAGACGGATGCTAGCGAATGGTGGCCAGGACGGCGTGCACTGTAGTGGCTCTGACAATCAGGGAATTAGAAAGCACATAACCAGGTGCTAATTGTAAATCAGACTGGAAGTGAAAGAGAGAAGTTCGAGTCAGAAGGCAGAGATGACATGATGTTTCTCCTGTTTTTTGAAAAGAATGTTAGGATGCTGAGGATCATTACAGGTTCTGAGCGGGCAGCAGAGTGGCAGCTGGGCTTCACTGTGGGCAAATACAAGGATTGGGGGCTATGTTAGTCTGCACGGGCTGCCCTAACAAAGCCCCACAGGCTGGGCGGCTTCAACAGCAGACATTTGTTTTCTCACAGTTCTGGAGGCTGGAAGTCTGAGATCAAGGGTTAGGCTCTCTGGAGGCCTCTCTCCTTGGCTTGTAGAGGCCGTCTCCTCCCTGTATCCTCACATGGTCTTCCCTCTGTGTGTCTGTGTCCTGACCTCCTCTTCTTATAGGGACACCAGTCCTATTGGATTGGGGCCCACCCTAATAACCTTATTTAACCTTAATCACCTCTGTAGAGGGCCTATCTCCAAATACAGTCACATCCTGAAGTGCTGGGGTTAAGGCTTCAACATACAATTTTTTTTTGGTGGGAGGAGGGCGCAATTCAGCCTAGAATGGGGAAAATGATACTGTGCCCATCAAATCACGAGGATAAAACCCCAGAAAGGGAACTAAAGGTCACTATGAGCCACTGGGTGGCTAATGTGCACGGTGAGTTCCTTCTACCTCTGGGCCCAGACCCAGGCGTTGGTCTCCCCAGACACTAAGCTGACAATGTGCGTCCTGCTTTGCCATCGCCTCACAGAGTTCCTGAACACTCATGCAGTTCTCACGGCTCTGTCTGCAGAGTCCCCTCACCCCAGGAGGTGTGTCCTGAATCACAGAAACTTAAGGAATGCCATGCTCAGAATAAGAAGGCATCCAGCCACTCCTGATGCTTCAGATCGTGGTCCCTGAGAAGTTTTGTGGGATGGTGCAGTTTTTCCTCTGTGGGGTCAATATCTGAATGCTGGGAGGTGGCTCCAATATCCTTATTTTCCGTGACTTCCTTTACATAAATGTATGCTCCTCCTTCTGGATACAAACCCCTCTTCAGCTTGTCCTTCTGCTGGGTTAAGCACGAGTTCGAATGTGAGCTCATTTGTTTTCACATCTTGGGAGGGACTCTGAGGTCTCTCTCTAGCTCAAATCTCCCCTTCTCTTCCGGTGCCGGATTCCCAGTGCCTTCAGGAGGTTCTTGTTCAGCTGTCACCTGGATGCCCACAAGGATGTTGCCATATTCCTCTTAGCTACCCCCATCAAAACTTCCAGTGTCGGCAATAACATTCTCACAGCCTACGTGTTCTAAACGGTCGTCTTCCTTCTCTCTCATTCCCTGTCCTTTGTATTCGGGGTGTTATCAAGCGGAATCGGTTCATCTTTATTGCCATTTGTCAGAGATCCCAGCTCTCCCTCTCTTTCTCTCTCTTCGATCTAATCCATATACAG